GGTTTCGGAGCTATGCCCCGACTAATCCGTTGGTCGACCCGGATCCCACACCTGACAATGGTGGGTGAGTCTCCCAACAAGGGCTTTCTGCATCCGCAAGGACTCGAACTCGAGACCTTGCTTAAGCGACATCAAGCTGCTTACCACTTGAGCCAACTCCTATTAATAAAGAAATTTATATTTAAAAGTATTTTTTTTGAATCTTTTGTTTTGTTGGTCGAAAATCCGGTTTACAAGGTCAACTCGCGCAGGTTGAAAGGTCAAATTATTAGTTTGGGGAATGACTAGCTAGCTAGTGACATATTGACATGGAGCTTATCCAACTTAATAAAATTCTTATCTTACAAAAGTACTCTAAAGATGCTTCTACAAGGTTCCACATCAGATATATAGAAAGCTTCCTCGTTGTTGTATCTAAGTTATACACAAAGTTGTTAAATAAAAAGGAGGTCGTGAGCTTTGTTTGATTTGGCTCGTTTTATAAATTAGTCGAGAGCAAATTCGTTAAGTCTTGAGAATAGAGTCTTGACACGGTTATTTGAGTATTGGTCTTAGCACGACGCTGCTCGAGCTCAACTACTTAATATTTTAATAAAGAGTCGAGCTCAAATTTATTTAGTTGATAAATCGTGCATGAAAGAAAATAAATAATGAGCTCAAGATATTTCCATGAGTCGTCAGTTGACGTTGATTCAACTAAGGAAGGTTCTATATTTCTTAAGAGAATTTAAGCTATGCTTGAATCTCTCAAATATTGAGACACTAGTACTAATATCCATATAAAACATGATTACTGAGTTGATTAATATATGTGTAAAGTTATTTATGTATAATACCAAATCTAACTACAAAGCAAAATAATATAAAAACAACATCACGAAGCATAGATTTTTGCCATGTCAGCATCCGAAGCGTGAGAATCTGTCACCTAGGCTCAACACATTTTGAATTAATATATAGGGAGGGAGGAGGGATTATATTAAGAGGGATTTTTATTTTTGTTTTTGAATGATAAATTGGGACGACAAACATAATCTTACTGCCTGAAGGGATTCTATATGGTGTTTAAAACGGGCTTTCCGTACTACCCGAATGGGCCTTCTACAAGGACGATACAGCCCATGTCAGAAAGCCCAAACGTTCGGATTGCAAATTGCAATTGGTGCTGTGAGCCTGTGAGCGAACGATGTCGTACTAGCCTAATTAACTGCACAAAACACGCGGGCGCTTGGTGACCGACGGTTTTGGTTCCCGCCATGGATGCCCTCATCTACTCCGCGGCCTCTCGATTCCTCGTTCGGCGTCCCCACCGCCCGGAACGTACACCTCTCCGCCAATGCGCGTTCACCGCGAGGTTCGCCGCACTCGATTCCATCACAAATCCCACGTCCTGCACCGATTCTAGGGTTTTGAGCAATCTGGTTTTCGTGTCTCTTGGTTTGTGTGCGTTGTTTTTCAGGTCGAGCTTGAAAATCCCTGTGCCGGAGCAGAAAGCGAAGTATTCGGAACATTTGCAAGCAGCTGTTGATGTCGTCGAGCGCGCCTGCCGCCTCTGTGTTGATGTAATTTTGTTGGGGGTTTCCCTAGATGAGCTTTCTTCCGCATTACTGCTGCTGAAATTTATATATATTTTTTTCTTGATTTTTCCTGTGAAGATAGGTGCAAAAATCATTGTTCGCAAATGATGGAAAAGTTGTCGAAAAATTGGATCAGACACCTGTCACCATTGCAGATTTTGGAGTTCAAGCTCTTGTTAGCCTAGGTAACCATCACTCCCCCAAGAATAAGTAATGTAGTTCATTATTTGATTTTACATTTATGTGTTTGAAATCCTACTGTTTTTTTAATTTGTGTCTGTAACATTTTCGCCTCAAATGGGGCAGAGATGGGCAAATTATTTCCGTCCATTCCTCTGGTAGCAGAGGAGGATTCAGGATTTGTACGCCAAAATAATCTAGTGGATGTTGTTGTTCAAGTGGTTAATGATAAATCGTCTTTAAGAGATGAAGCATTTAGTCAAGATGATGTTTTGAAGGCAATTGATAGAGGGGGGAAAGATGCCTATTTGTTTGGACAAGAGCCAGCTACTTATTGGGTAAGCTCCACGAAAATGCCTCCTCTATGTGTTTTCAGGAGGAACTGCTTTTCAATCCGGTTAGGATTCAACGAACGGATTTGCTAGAAAGTTCTCTTCAGTCTGCCATTAGATTGTCCTGTGATGTGAGATCTATTAACAAATAGTTGCATCTTTGAAGCTGTCGAGGAATGTGGTCTGATAAATGATAGTTTCTTTTTTTATCTTTTTTTTTTGTCTTGGGCTTGTAATCCTGAGATTTGGCCAATGTGATGGATATATGCAGATATTGGACCCAATTGATGGGACGCGAGGATTTGTCAAAGGTAGTGAAGCTCTATATGTGGTATGTTTGTCCTTGCTAGTTTCTCTTTTATAAGTTCTATGGGACTTAACGTCATTACGATTTTTTCTTCGTGTAATGCATTTTTTTCAACCATCACATTTGTTTTAGAATGTGTTTTACCCTCATGCATGCTTATACTTATAGAGCCGCACTATATATTGGATATGTAGTACGGAGTGGTAGTGTTACTACTGTGATGTATAAATGTAAAATGACACTCACGCTCGAGTAATGACAATGTCATGGCTAAAAAATGAGCTTAGCCTCGGCTAATAAATGAGTTGTACAGTTGATTTATTATTAAATAGGTTAAGAAAGTTGAGCTCAAGTAGCTTGCAAATAGTTCTGTTTATTTGTAGCTATGGTTGTTTTTCCAATCCCGGCCCCCTGTCCTGAAGTCCTGGGTCCATCCTGGTTATATATATTTCTCTCAAATATTCTTTGTGATGTGATTTATTAATCATCAGATGTGGTTTTGCTAGTTCTTAAAGTTCTGTTTTTCTTTTGCTCGTTACTGCCTTTTGATTTTCCTTTGTTAGTTTCTTGTGATATTGAGATCCTCATAAACATCATGGGTACAATTGACAAACTATTTTTGCATGATTAGTTCACATTGAAGCAACTAGAAATTGCTGGACAGTCTGAAATGGAACAGTTTCAACTGAATGGTTCTTTTGACATTTTTGATAGCATAATTCTCATGTTACTATGCTCTGCTACCTTTGTCTTCTTCTCATCTTGTTGTCAAAAACTCACATGGTGATATGTTATCTTATGCTACTACACTAAATGTTTTTAGGTAGGCCTGGCTTTAGTTGTTGAAGGGGAGATTGTTTTGGGTGTTATGGGATGTCCAAACTGGCAGGATGGGGATTCTAGACCTGAGGTCGAGGGAAAAGAAAATACTGATTCCAGGTCAGGGATTATTATGATATCCCACGTCAATTGGGGAACTTGGAGAACAACATTGTGGAATACGCAAAACAGTGATACCAAATTGGCTCACAAGTGGACCAGGTGCCTGGTTGACAGTCTTCACGATGTTCATGAAGCACGCTTTTGCATTCCAGAGAGTCAAACGTGGGAGTCTTTGCCCCTGTCCACTCAGTTTAATGCCACTACTCATGCTGATAATGTTGGGGAAAATAATGTTCTTCTTCTTCCTGCATGTTGTGGAAGGTGCTTTTATATCATGGAAAATATACATTTATTGTTCAGTTATTTGGCTTTATAACATGTACTTCTGTCAACTTCTAATAACATCATGCCACTCCTTCACTAGTTTTATTGTATACATAATACATATTGTGAAAAGTTTTTAAGAGTCTCCTGTGCTTCTGAAGGTGTATCATATAGGAAGCTAGGACCATTAATTGTGTGTATTTATGGATAGATTCACGTCGGGTTAGAACAATTCGTAGGATCCATAGTTATTTTCATGGTACTACTGATGCCTGTATAAGTGTGTTATATTACTCGGCAATAGTCTGATAAGTGAATGAATCTGAATTAAGAAATCTTACTCCGACCTAACTATTTCCCTCAGTATGATAATTAGTATAAGTTCGTCAAACTGTGATAGTTGTGTTTTAGGCAGGGTTACTATATTCTGCTCTAGCTTGCTTCCTTTGGGTCAATGTTCAATGTGCCTCTTGTTTTCTCTATCTAACATGCTCTTATGATGCTTTTATAGGACCTAAGTCCTTGGTTCTGTTAGCTAACATGGCTACTATGATGATTTTGTACTACAGTGCTTTGAAGAACCTCTTATTGAACCTTGAATAGTGTACATCTACCTGAATAATGAAAAAGGAAGGATTTATTTTGATCACTTACCAATTGTATAATGATGCTATGGGTGTTTCTCGTAATTCAGAATCTCTATGGCCCGTATAATAGTATTCTTATTTGTGTTATGACATTTGTGCAGTCTATGTAAATATCTGATGGTTGCATCTGGGAGGGCATCGGTTTTCTTTCTTCGTGCAAGGACGAAATCTGTTATCAGGGTATATTTCTTTGTTCCTTATCGTTGTTAATCGAATTAACAAAGTTCATTTTCTTTTCAAAAAGAAAAATAAATGAGAACTGAATAGCTCGAGTACATTTTACTTCACAAAAATGTAGGTGTGGGATCATGCCGTGGGTGTCATTTGTATTCTTGAAGCCGGTGGAAAGGTATTGCCACCTGCCATTTTCACATTCTATTCTATGTTTCATTACTAGCCTGCAGGTCACAATAAAGCCTTATGCTTATATCTCAAGTCGAGTTCTTCAATTCTTATATTTGTTGGAGATGAAATTGCAATTTGCAATGAAGTATGCGTTATTTCGTATTAGCCATCCATATTAGAACAAATTTTATTGCATATCTTGGAAATTTCTTTTACTCTAGTAAGATGGCAAGTGAAAATTAAATGATCAGGTGACTGACTGGAATGGTAGCAAACTCGATTTTTCAGCTGATCAAACTGGAAGAAGAGTCTTATATCCTTCTGGTGGCATTCTGGTGTCAAATGATAGCTTACATAACCAGATATTAGAAGTTATATCCTCCAGCTAGCTGATGATTCTTTCATGTTATCTATCAATTTGTCGATTTCATACTGTCTGATTTTGACTGATCTTGTTTTCCATTTGTTACACTTTGTTCTTTTGGAATGGGATTATGGACTTCAATTTTACCTTATATACATGTGAGTCCTTGTAGATTGTAAGATTTACGAACGCACAGAAAATCATTTACTCGAAATGCTGGCTTGATACCACCAACTTCGTGCCCACCCAACTAGTTTATTAGCCACAAATGGACACGTAGTGTTGTTAAATTGAAAGACCTTGGCTCGGCTTGAGCTAGGCTCGTTAAGACTGGAATTCGACTCGGCTCGGTTTGTTTAAGCTCGAACTCATTTAAAACTCCTTTAATAAACAAGTTGTACTCGGTTTGGCTCAAAAAGAGAATTCGTATATAATTTTTTATAGTCCGGCTTGTTAAGACAAGATTCAGCTCGTTATTAGTGATAAACGAGTCGAGTTCGTGCTCGATTTCAAGCTCGTTTATTTACAGGCCTATCGACACGCGACATATGTGGGTGTGCAGCTAGAAGGCATCTCGAAACACGAGCCATAACAAACGAGAACCAATAGTGTGTGCACACGTGTACATGTACATTTATGTTGACATACAGTTGTCCGTATATGGGAAAACGACGAAAGCAAGATCTAAAGATAATTACAACAAATGAGCAACTGATCCATTATTGCACTCTGCTCACGTTAATCCCCAATAATTTTCTTATCATTGTATTTAAAATGTAGATTTTTGGAAGACCATATCTTACTTCAAGAGTCTCGAATTTTTTCTCAGCCAGGTGTTCCAGGTCCTCCCTCTCTCTATTATATATTATCAAAATTCAACTAATCAAAGTTATATAATCACACCCGACGATGACGGTTGTACATGCATAGATATGTCGTATGTACCTACGTGTTTTTCGTTTTAAAAAAACAATAATTATAGAAAGATGCTACGGTTCCGTTATGCAACAATTCCATCGAAATTTGTAACCGTTAGATCAACTATCTATGACGGATAGTAAGCATGGTGTACTAGCCACGGATTCATTGGATCTCGTTGCCAAAAACAGCTTCTCTCTAAATTTGAAAAAAAAAAAAAAAAATGATCATGCAACACAAAATTTGAATTAAAATAAATTATGAAAAGGTTTGGGGAGAAAAGAGCTCATGAAAGAATAGACAAGTTTTTACCTAAATTATGTGTGTTTTTTGTCAACCTTGTCCAACTAATTTAGAAATTGGGCAAGAAATTACTAATTCTAGTAAACCGAATTTTCTAGAAATTGTTTTGTGCTTTAATTCTGTGGCTAGCACATTAAGTTTATATATAGTAAAATGAAATATGAAATCTAATTAACATGAAATTAAGTGGAACAATAGATAAGGCTCGGTTGACGATGAAGTCAAAATTATCAAAATGACATATAAAATTAAGGTTTCCACTTGCCATCTACAAATATTAACAAATATTGCTTCGATACATATCTTTAAATAAACACTTAGGACATATGTCAATACATCTATTCAATTCACTTGGTTTATTGAATTTTCGCAACTTTTTAAACTTAAATTATTAATGGGATTGTTTGCAAATAATATATAAACAATGGAAAATGTTATGGCACTGTTACAGTACCATCATGTCGGGAATTTTAACCATTGGATAATCTAACTTATACTAACTAACTATATGTGTACCCAACGTTAAAATCTCTGACGGGATAGTACCGTAACGGGACCAGAGCATATTTCCCATAAACAATGGTATTCAATTCTAAGTTTGCTAACGAGATTTGGCAGTCTTTTAGGGATGCTTAATTCAATAATTATAATTAAAAGAAATTTGGTCTCATTTTACTCTCTTTTTTTTTTTTTTTTTTTTTTTTTATCTTCCTCCAATTTTTTAAACAAAAGAGGAGGGCGCACAAGCCAAGTCTTGCTTGCTGTGGCGTGCTAAATGCTAATGGCTTCATGCAAATCGTCAAAATGAACAGTAGTCAGTGAAGGCTAATATTTTTTAATAACCCAAAAAAATTAAAATAAAATTAATGCATGGATATAAATGCATGCCTCTTTAAATATTAATTATAATAATTGACCTAAAACCTAAAATTAAGCGTCTTAAGTGGGCTGTGGGAGACAAAGGTGGACGATAAAGAGGATATGCACACGCGAAATTCAACGTTTTTCAATTACTATATTTCAATGTAATATTATATTAATTAAAGTTTAATTTTTAAACCTCACCCGGTCAGGTCTCTGGATCACAAGGTAACCGGTTCAACCGTCGCGTCATCGGGTCAATTGTTGAACCGAATAATTATTTTAAAATTTTTAAAATTATATATATAGTATTTTTGTCATATAAATATACATGAAAGTAGTAAAATTAAATGTTTTGTGTATAAAATTTATACATTAAAGTGTTAATAATATATATCTCACACTAAATATTTACCATATAAATAACATACATATATAGTTTTATTTTTAAAAAACAAAAAAAATAAATAATATATATATATATATATGTATATGTATATGGGCCGAGTCAATGTCGGGGTCGACCGGGTCAAGACCAGGTTGGTCGAGTTTGACCGATCCTTTGTTGCCCGACCCAAATAACCCACCCAAATCGATTACGGTTCCTGGCTGGGTCGACCGGGTCCCGGGCCGGGTCGGGGGTAAAAACACTATGAATTAAACTAATTTGTGGATTAACATATTTTATTAGGTACATTGATACACGAACGCGTGTCCTATTAACATAGCTGACAGCACACTACTGATAAAATGGAAATGAGAAGCTGCAATTAATGAAGTCCAACAGATGGAGTGGCTTTCAGTTTATTTATACTAATATTGCTTTATTTTTCTCAAAGTAGGGACCACTGTATACATATGACTGCCACGTGTGAGGTGGTGGGACATGTATTAATATTCAACTAGTATCTTCACCCGTGCGATGCACGGAACATATTTATTAAAATAAATATATATATATATCATAAAAGTAAATGACAAATAAATAACATTATTATTGGGTAAATTGCGCCAAACCCCCCTGTATTATACGAAATCTGCGCGTTATCCCCCTGTATTTTAAAAATTGCGCCATACCCCTTTGTATTATACTTTTGATTGCGCGTTATCCCCTAAACCGTCTAACTTGACGGAAGTGCACTTCACGCGCGTGTGGTGCGACTTTTTCTCCATTTTTTGGCCATAAACTCACAGAAATTACTATTTTGCCACTAATACCTGAATTATATATATATACACATTATTATATATATATATATATTATATTATATAATATATT